TTCTAACATTCATATGGAACAACAAAAGACCCCAAATAGCCAAAGCAAGCCAAAGCAATAAATAAATAAATAAATAAATAAAGCCAGAGGCATTACACTACCTGACTTCAAATTATACTACAAAGCTAGAGTAGCCAAAACAGTATGGTACTGGCATAAAAACAGACACATGGACCAATGGAACAGAATAGAGAACCCAGAAATCAACCCACATACTTACAGCCAACTGATCTTTGACAAAGGCACTGAGAACATACACTGGGAAAAGGACTGTTTCTTCAATAAATGGTGCTGGAAAAACTGGATGTCCATGTGTAGAAGAATGAAACTAGACCCATACCTCTTGCCATCTACCCAAATCAACTAAAAATGGATCAAAGACTAAAATATAAGACCTGAAACTATAGAACTCCTAGAAGAAAACACAGGAGAAACACTTTAGGAAGTAGGACTAGGCAAAGACTTTATGAATATGACCTCAAAAGCATAGGCAATAAAAGAAAAAATAAACAAGTGGGATTACGTTAAACTAAAATGCTTCTACACAGCAGAGGAAATAATCAACAGAGTGGAAAGATAACGTACAGAATGGGAGAAAATATTTGCAAACTACACATCTGACAAGGGGTTAATATCCAGAATATACAAGGAACTCAAACAACTTAACAGCAGAAAAACAAATAATCCTATTTCAATAATGGGCAAAGGAGCTGAATAGACATTTTTCAAAGGAAGACATACAAATGACCAACAGATACGTGAAAAAATGCACAACATCACTAGTCATCAGGGAAACGGAAATCAAAACCACACTAAGATATTATCTCATCCCAATTAGACTGGCTATTATTAAAAAGACAGAGAAAAACAAATGCTGGTGAGGATACCCTTCTGCACTGTTGGTGGAACTGTAAATTAGTGCAGCCATTATGGAAAACAGTATGGAAATTCCTCAGACAACTACAGATAGAACTACCATATGATCCAGCAATCCCACTACTGGGTATATACCAAAAGGAATGGAAATCATCATGTTGAAGCGATACCTGCACTCCCATGTTCACTGCAGCTCTATTTACAATACCCAAGAATTGGAACCAACCTAAATGTCCATCGACGGGTGACTGGATAAGGAAAATGTGGAATATTAGCACAATGGATACTACTCAGCAATAAAAAAAAAAAGAATGAAATTCTGCCACTCGCAGCAACTTGTATGAGCTTGGGGAAAATTAAGTGAAATAAGCCAGGCACAGAGAGATACCACATGTCGTCACTTAAAAGTGGGAGCTAATAAATAAATAAATAAATAAGTAAGAAAGAAAGAAAGAAAGAAAGAAAGAACAATCACAATAATAGGTTGAACTTTCAGAAAGAGAGAACAGAACTGTGGGGGCTGGCTAGGAATCGGTTAGTGGACACAAAGACTTATTACATTTTGTAATGATGAACATGCTAATTATCCTGATTTGATCATCACATATTGTACACAGGTATTGATATTCAACTCTGTACCCCACAAACACGTGTAATCAGTTAAGTTTTAAAAAAACCCCAACTTTAATTCTAGGAAAAGATAAGAAATGGGTTTTGAGACTTTCTTATTTCTAAGTGTATAATTATTAGCTTGGGCATGCAAATCCCTTAGAAATAATTAAAACCAGCCATTAAGTTAAATTCCTCTAACTGTATCCTTATTAAACGATAATACTTATATTTGCACAAACAGTTGCATGGATCTCAGTTTACATTTTGAAGGTTGTCAAACAAAGAGCATGAAACAAAGGACCTGAGACTGACACATTTTTGGAAGTTTTATAATTTTTCTGGCGTTTAGACCAGTGGGTAAATGAAATTCATTTTTTTTTTTCCTTTTTGTCTTTTTTCGTGTCCGGCAACGGATCGCAACCCTCAGCGTCGCACCCGCACCGGACCGGGACCGGCAACGGGATCACAACCCTCGGTGTTGCGCCCACACCTCGCTCAGCCAGTGAGCGGGAACTGGTCTGTATGTGGGATCCGAACCCTCGGCGGGAGCGCTACCGTGCTCCCAAGCGGCGCACTGTAGCAGTGCGCCACCGGGCCGGCCCTATATCTTTACTATTTCAATGATTTCTCTTCTTTATTATTTCTATTGTTTTTTGGCTTAATTTCTGTTTGTTTGTTGTTGTTTTTTTCCTAGCTTTTTAAGGTGGAAAATTAGGTAATTAATTTTGCAGCTTTCTTTTTTAAATATAAGCACTTAAAGATGTAAATTTCCCTTTAAGCTCTGAGGTAGCTGCATCCTACAAAATTTGACTTGTATTTACAAGTTTATTCAGTTTCTGATTCCCCTTGTGACTTCTTCAAGCCACATGGGTCTTTTTTAGAGGTGTATTGTTTAATTTGTAAATATTTGGGGATTTTCCAGATAATTCTGTTATAAATTTCTAATTTAACTTGGTAATGGTCAGAGAAGAAAGTCTGGATGATTTCAGTCTTCAAAATCTATTTAGGCTTCCCTCCCTGCAGATAGTTTCCTTTCACAAACATTCTGTGTGTCATAAACAGTGTGTATTCTGCTGTTGATGGCTGGGGGGGAGTCCAATTTAGTTTTGGTCGCCTATCTTTGTTTTACTATGTCAGATCTGTCAGTGTAATTGACAGCCTGGCCCTTGCCTGTGTAAATGCACAGTATAAGTATGATTCTTTCCTGAGAGATAGGAGACAGTGGCTCATTTCTTAAAGTTTATGAAGCACCACTAAGTCTTTGTCTTGGGCTCATTCTGGGCATACACATGGGAATGAGAAAAGTGCCAGTGTCGGGCCTTAAAAACTAACGCCACCTTAAGTGACATTACAAGCGGTGCCATTATGGGCCCACAAGGGCGTATTAACGTGGCAGCCTAAGATGGTGCTGGGAGGAAGTAGGGTGGGAGCGTCTGCGGGAACCTTGCCTTAGCCCTTATTGGCCAAATACAGACTTCCGCGCTCATGAACACTGCATGATTGCAATAGCTAGATATTGAGACAGGATGCATGCTCTCATAACCGTTAAGCTGATTGGAGGATGTAAAAACCTCCCTTCCTTGCTTGCCTTTAAAAGCAAGTGCTTGTGTGATAATAAATGGAACTGCTCAACAGAACCCCCGCCACGTCTGAGTGTCCTTTAAGCGGGCTGGTTGGGGCCGGTGGTGTGCTCACCTCTCTTCACGGCTCTCTTCCCCCGTCTCCTTCCAAAGGGGACAGGAGGGAAAGGGGAATCCGGGCCATTTGCTCGCCCACCAAAAGGAACGAGGCTAGAGCTGTTCGGGTTGGCCGGCGGCAGACCCGACATGCCAGGGATTCATTGGGTTGGTGGGAAGAGACATTCCCAGAAACAAGAGCCTGCAACATGAGGGCTGGTAGCCTGGGTCTGGCTTCCTGCCAAGGGTGATTGACAGTGGGAGTTACCACCTGACAAGACTGCCCCTGAGCTCCAGCAGCCTGAGCTGTTCCTCACTCAGACGTCACTCAGACTCTCAACCTCATCATGTCCAAAACAAAACTCATGACACTTGCACCAAACCTGCTTCCCCTGGTCTTCCCATCTCTGTCCTTGCCGCTTGGACTGAAAAGGTTGGCATCATCTGAACTTGGCCCACATCACTCTGACAGCAGATTGTGTTGGTTCTTCAAAACCTATCCAGAAACCGGCCACTTCTCACCACTTCTACTGCTGCCCCCTCAATGCCAGTCAACACCTGCTCCCTAGCCCCCAGCCTATTCTCCACCCAGCAGCCGATGCCACTCTGCCCAGACCCCTTCAGTGGGTCCATCTCAGAGTCAAAGCAAAGTAGTTTCCATGCCCACAGGTGCCTCCTGGCATGATCCTGTGCCCACTCTCCTCACCTGTGAACCTGCCACACCCCCGTCTGCAGCCTTTGTTCCAGCTCTGCCAGACTCTCCCCTTGCCCTCTGCACGTCTTTGCTCAAATGCCTCCTTCTCGCTGAGGCCTGCCATTGCCCTCTGAAATGGCAAGTCTCCCTCCCCGCCCATTTCTCTCCCCCAACTTCCTTCCCCTTATAGAGGGAATCAAGTGCATTGCCATATAACACACTAATTTATCTCGTGTCCTCCTGCTCCCCTCTTGGAATGTAGACTGCATGTGGGAAGGACTGTGGCCTGCTCTGTTCCCTCTGTAAATATTTGCTGAACAGCTGTGTAAATGTCAAAGCATGAGAGGGATCTCAGCAGGTATAGAGGGAGAGAGGACACTTTAGGGACAACAGTTTGCTTGAAGATTGTATGAAAGAACAGGACTTGTTCTCAAAACTGGTATTGCCAACAGAAACAACATTTCTTAGGTGACTACTTAGGACTCTAGGGTCCCAAGGAGTTTGCTCTAAAACCTCTGATTCAAAGCAGCTTGTCGGTGTTTTCTTAGTAGAGAATGACTTCTGAAAGGCACAAAAATGGTGAAATCCAATTAACATTTTTCTTCAAACAAAAAGAAACAGAGGGTTCAATCTGATGTGACCAATTCCCACTAATTCTGTGTATTGCTTTAAAAGATAGTCAGCGACTTCTGAAAGGCACAAAAATGGTGAAATCCAATTAACATTTTTCTTCAAACAAAAAGAAACAGAAGGGTTCAATCTGATGTGACCAATTCCCACTAATTCTGTGTATTGCTTTAAAAGATAGTCAGAGAAGAAGTTTGAGAGATTTCTCAATCCATTTACAATAAGTTCTGGACTTCCCAGGTCATAGTTTGTAAAAATTATTTCTAATCTTTCATGCTGGGTTGAAAAACAGAACAGAACATTCCGTGATTTGAAACCTGATGACTTTGCTCAAGTTTTATGTGGACTCGTAGCTTAAGGAGTTGTTTTTTTCAGAACACTTTGGTTTGAGCCTTCTTACAATGTGCACAAAGAAACTGTCGTTGTAGCTGTCAGGGTGCCAGTGTCTCTGGGCGAAGCATATTTGTGTCCTTTTTCTCTGCTTAGTGAGCAGACATCGGGGCTGCCATGGGAGCTTGTGGGGTGGAATTCCGAGCAGCTCAAGGGCCACAGCAGCCAAATCAAGTGCGTAAGTGTTTATGTGACCTTGCGAAGGAGATTTCCATTGTGTGGCCACAAGGGATAGAAAAAGACCTTTGAATAAAAAAGTTATCTGGTTCAGAAACAGTGCCTGCTAGGATTCTGTTCTTGGCGGAGTTCTGTGAGAGGTACACGTCTTTCTTCTGAGATACCCACCCTGGCACCCTGGTGCCCGAGACCTGCGGTGAGTGCAACAGGAGGCCCCTTCGTTTCCTGGTGGGGTTGACAGCTCCGAGCCAGTGGTTAAACAATCACTGCAAAACGTTTCTAGGATCCTCTGGCTTCATGTCCTCATTGAAATTCAGGGAGCGACTCTCCTTCCCCTGCCTTGAGCACAGTTTTGCTGAGCTTTTGTTCCATTTGTGAATAGCTCCTCCTGGAAACCCCTCACCCAGAGACTGGCGCTCCCCACGGCCCGCGGACCGCAGAGGTAAGCACCCGCCGAGCAGTGTGTATTCCATAGTCCCTTGTTCGGTTACCACCTGGAGCAGTGCGGTAGGCCAAGTCCCCAGTGCGTCACGGGGTTTGTAAATAACGTTGCTAATGGAAGTTGGAATGTATGGTACCTAAGGACCTGGATCAGTAAGGCATTTAGAGCCTAAAATCTTACCCTGAATTCAGACCATTCGGGCTTGCTTGACTGGCAGAGTAACTTTACTCACTTTTAGAAGTAAGAGCTTGTTTTCTTCATCAAACTTACAGAATTTCACTGTGAACAATATTTCTTTGTTAAAAAAGTATTTCTTGAAAACAACTTATTTCAATTGAAGCTTTTTCATAGTGGACAAAGTCAATGATAATTTCATTACAAATAAATAAATGGTGACCCGTGACTGTACAGTCAGCACAGTTGTGGTGTCACCACTCATAATGTGTCTGTCCCCCGAGCGTGATGACCCGGGAGGAGCAGTTTAGGGAGGAGCTGAGCTATGACCGCATGCCCACGCTGGAGCGGGGACGCCAGGACCTGGGGAGCCACATCGCAGATGCAAAGCCGAACGACCTGCAGCTGTCGAAAAGGCTGCCTCCCTGCTTCAGCTACAAGACCTGGCTCTTCTCTGTGTTGATGGGGGTGAGTAGCTCAGCACCGTGACCACGGAGGGCCACGAGCACCTCCTCTCTGCAGTGACTGGCCACAGCGCCCCAGAGCCCATGCAGGGTCCCCTGCTGCTGGAGCCTCATGGATGCTGACGTGGTTATTTTGCTTGTGTTCTCTGAATCACTCTCCTCTCTTTGTGAGCATCTCATGCTAGCCCTGAGCTTGCCTCTGGCTGTGGCTGTGTCCCACCAGGAGATGGGTGGTCCAAGGCCACACTGAGTCCAAGAGTCATGCATCAGTCTGGTAGTCCCCCGAGGTGTCACCTTTGAAGGCTCTCAGGGCAGAGTGAGCAGCAGGGACATGTCTTGAGGCAGGAGTCCAGGGCATGGAGTGGCTACAGGGGGCTGGACAGGAGGGAGGAGGCCCAGGGTGGGGCGGTGGCACCACCCAGCATTTGAGGTTCTTTCCTGGGGTCCTGGGACATTTTCTGCACAGATGTGTGGACACTTAGATTACTGAAGGAGCCATTTTTGCCTGAGTATACGCAGTTGCCTAGAGCCAGGCCACTGGACCTGCCTCTCTGCGGGTGGGACCTGGGTTGCTGTGGCCCTGGGCTGAGAACTGTGATCCAGGTAAAGACCTCTCCCCTCCTCATGCCCCAGGCTCTGCCTGCCACCCCTGCAATACCCCCAAGGGTCCTGCCTGCCCCCAGGGCCATGAGCCTGCCACACCAGGACAGGACCCCCCTGAGATGGGCAGAGAGGGAGCTCCTCCTCCCTCTGCTCCTGGGGTGTGGGTGGCAGTGGCCAGACCCTGCTCCACCTAAGGCCCTGTGCCCTGGACCCTGTCCTCAGTGTCCTCACAGCCTGTGGCCGTGGCACTTTACCCACTCCTCCCCATGCCCCTCCTTACTTAGGCTTGTGTGGTCTCCTCGGCCCCCAGACCACACCTCCCCTGGGTCCCAGTGACTTTTAACACTGTCCCATATGGCCCCACCCTCTGTGGTGACTTCCCATCTCAGAGTAAAGCCCGGCTGGCCCTGCCTCCTCCTGGGGCTGCACCACTTGGAAGCCCTTGGGCCCGTAGCCCCTGACTCGAGTGGTCACTTCCCAGACATCAGCTTGGATGAGCGTCTGCAGAGGGAGCTGGAAGGGCTTCATGCCTGGACCTGGGGGTGGGGATCCTGAAGCCCCTGCAATCGCACATGTTGAGCAAGGGCCTTTTCTGGGGAGAGGAGCCATCTCTTCCTTCAAATTTTGACAGAGCCCCCTCCCCCTCCCCCACATAACAGTGTGGAGGTCCATGCTGTGACACTGGGGGAGGGTGGTCCACTTCAGGCCATGTCTGTGCTGCGGGGAGGAGTGCAGGTCAGGCCGGGTCTGGGCACTGGCACAGCTGGCGCTGTGGGTGTTGGTGGGAAAGCAGTTCTGCTGTAGTCAGAGGGCTGCTGTCGCATCTCCAGCCTCTGACCTGCAGACCATTTCACTGAATTTGTGTTGCTCTTTTGCAGAGCTGCCTCCTGGTGACCTCGGGGTTCTCGCTCTACCTGGGGAATGTGTTCCCTTCTGAAATGGACTATCTGCGGTGTGCTGCGGGCTCTGTAAGCTACTTGGTACCGAGATTGCTGTCTTGCAGCTAGGTTTCCCTGCCCTGAGACTCCCAGGTGTCCCACTTGCTCCTCATTCAGAGTCATTCCCATGACTTCAGTTTCAAATAGGATCTATTATTTTTGAAAATTATTGAAGCAGGTCTGAATCTTACTCCAAAGACGCCTGTGCAGGAAATAACACTTTGATGTCTTAACAGGCAGCCACACCTGCTGCAGCTGCCCAGCTGGCAGGGAATCTGCAGCCCCGCCCCCTCCCAGCACTCAGAATCTTACACACAGTGCCAGGGGACGGGTGGGGTGAGGGATCCACTGGTCCTCAGGGAGGGGAAAACAGACCACCATGGTCCCCCTACCCACAGGAAGCCCCCCTTCAGTTGATGACCTGCCAGCTCCTGCAAAAGAAAGGCCCCTCATATCCCTTCCTCTCCCTTCCCAACCCCCACCCAGGTCTCCTGCCCCTGCACCCACCCCCTGGATTGTCCCCCTGTGTCCACTCCCCAGAACAAAACTCCTTGAAGGAATGTGACCGCCTCTCCCTGCCGTTCCCCCTGGAAACTTCTCTTTGGCCTTTTGGCCTCACCGTTGGAGAAGTCCTTGTCAAGGACCCAGTGACCTCTAACCCGGGACACAGATCTCTCCCATCACAGCCCCACGCGCCTCTGTCCCTGCCTTTGCTGGGTCCAGGGCCCAAGCTGAGCCCGCACAGCCGGGCCTCCCAGACCCTCACTCGTGCCTATATGGAGCCCTCTCCTGCCTCCCCACCCAACACTGCAGCGTGTCCACAGGCTCTGCCCCTCAGCCGGCCCCCAGCTATTGCCCCCACCTTGGGATCTGGGGTCCCAGTCCCTGTAAGAGTGGCACTGGTGTGGCCCGCCAGGCCCGGCTGATCCTCCTCCACCCAACACCCCCTCTCTCATCTTCTAACCTGGCCCTGGACGCTTGGCCTGGGGGTCACAGTGAGGGGTCAGAGTGGGCTAAGGGCTCTGGGGCTCCTGGAAACAAAGGGAACATTTCCTCTTCCCTCACGCATACTTTTTCCCTTTCGGGTAATTCTTCAGCCAAGACCATCCCTGGTTTTGGGCAATAGTAAGTTACAATCTGGACTTCCTAGTCTGTCCAGCTAGAAGAGTTTGCCGTATCAGCTCATCAGGAAAATTAAACTTTTTTCTGAATAAATTATTTTGAAGTACCTGGGGACCTTTTTATGGTGAGCAAACCCCCTGCATGGAGTGGACTGGCAGTACTTGCTTTGCCAATGTGACTCAGCTCACTGGGAAGCTTAAACACTACTGCAGTTTGTTTTAAGTGGCAGTTCTGGCCAGCGTGCTGCTCAGGTGAGCCGTGGCTCATCGGAGCTCCGGTCTCTTTTCAGTGCATCCCCTCAGCAATTGTGAGCTTTGCAGTTTCACGGAGAAACGTCAACATGGTGAGTCCCACCTTCTGTCCAGCCTCTGCAGACTTGGAGGGAGCCAGATGGCAGGGCGGTCAGGCGGGCAGGTGGGCCCAGGCCCTCTGTGGGGCTGAAGGGCACATGTGTACATTTGTGCACACGCGTATACATGCACACGGATGGGTGGGGCACCAAGAGGGTTATGCAGATGCTGCCTCTCCAGGCTGTTGGGCTTCCCGCCCTACCCGCCTCTATGGGGGAGTCCTGAGCACACAGGGCCCCTGCCACACCACTCCTTAGGTGTTACAATCTTTAGGACTTTTAGTGAATGCCCTGGAGTTTTGTTTGGTGTTTTGTTTCTTTATGTCTGTTGTATTCAAAGAAGGAAAACGTCTCCCTTGTTTTTCAGATCCCCAACTTTCAGATACTGTTTGTGTCCACATTTGCTGTCACCACCACGTGTTTAATCTGGTTTGGATGCAAACTAGTCCTGAACCCGTCAGCTATAAACGTGAGTCACTGGGAAGGGATGTGGGTTTCCTGTTTTCACCTGGACTGGGTCTTTCAGCTGACCTCAGATGCTGCTGGCTCTGGGCGTGCTGAGTGGGTGTCAGTAAAGGTTATGTGTTGAGTTGGAAATATGCAGTAAATGTTATCATAGCTTTTGAGTTTGAGAAAATTTTAGTTATGCTTCCGAAGAAAAGAATTTTCTTTATTGAACTCTTTTAATTGATTCCAGTGTTTGGATTTATAGATAAGTAATATTTTAAATATCTTTTTGCAACATTTCCTAAAGTTAACATTAACATAATACCATATTTCATCAAATCTGTGATGTTGTTGACTGTAAGACACATTATCTTTTAAGTACCACTAAGAAAAGTGGAAAAATGCTGCCATTTAAATTATGATGCCCAAAGAGAAAAATTTCAGCGGAATCAAGGACCTGATAAAATATACACTGCAAAAAAAAAAAAAAAGAATAAAAAATTTAAAAAGCCTCCTGCTTTTGTGTCAAACATCAAATGACTTTCTTTAAGATCAGGAAAAGCATGAGGTGGCCCCGAGGACATCTTAGTCAGTTTTGTAGGGCAAGAAAAATGAATGGACACATGAGGTCCAAAAGGAACACCTGAACTGCCAATATGTGCAGGACAGAGATTTTCTACTTACCTGACACTGGAATTTTTTTTTTTTCCTTTTTGTCTTTTTTCGTGACCAGCAACGGATCACAACCCTCAGTGTCGCGCCCATACCGGACCGGGACCGGCAATGGGATCGCAACCCTTGGTGTTGCGCCCGCACCTCGCTCAGCCAGTGAGCGGCCGGTCTGTATGTGGGATCCGAACCCTCGGCGGGAGCGCCGCCGCGCTCCCAAGTGGCACACTGTAGCAGTGCGCCACCGGGCCGGCCCCTGACACTGGAATTATTAAGAGCATGTAGCAAGATCGCAGGATGTAAAAATCAATGTAAAACATTAATTTTTGTAACAGCAAAAAAAATTGTAATCTGGAAAATGTAATCTGAATGAAGATACCATTTCATAGAATTAAACATATAAAGTTCCTGGGAATAAATGTAACAAGAGATCTTGGAGACTATTTGTTAGAAAATTTTGACACTTTGTTAATGAAATCCTAAGTAAATGGAGGACTGCACTGTGTACGAGACCTGATGTCACAGAGAGGGGAGCTCCTCTTGGACCCTCTGCATCAGAATCCCTGCAGGTTCGCGTACGGGCCTGGAGCCAGGGAAGGGAGCCCCCCCTCGAAGAGTGGGATTGGGGTACATCCCCCTACAACCAAGAATTACTAGAAAGCTGTCCTAACAAGCAGGGTGATCTCAGCATGGGCAGAGGAAACATCCCTGGGTTGGGCTAGCCTAGGGCAGCCCCACATGTGTAGACAGCAGTCTTGTGACCAGGGACACAGCAAGTGCCAGAGTCACTGCAACAAATGCCTGCTTCCCACCCTCCATGGAGGTCCAGACCAAATGGCTGAGGCAGAACTAGGAGCTCCACAGACACGGGAGACACGGTGAGGGGCTGACGAATTCTCCCAGGATGAAGAAATGGCCTCTGATGCCCACCACAGGCGCTTCAGAAAACAATTTGGGACTTGCAGGTAGGTTCTGAAGATGTGTGAGCACTGTGCTACCCATGCTGCAAGCCCTGTGGAAATGCTCGCACACCTGAGGCTAGGAAGTGTGCACGAGAAGGTCACAGCAGCATGCTCGCCATAGCAAAATCTCATACCAAAACAAATGTCCATCACTCAAGACAGTGCCGGCACACGGTAGTTGCCCAAAATTGCACGATGAAAGACAGAATGGGTGAATACTTCGTGACACATGCATCAAACCATACCCACCCAGCCTTCTGCTCGGCGTGTGGCCCGTGCACCAGCAGCACTGGCCTCACCTGACACTCGTACTCGTAGCTCCTCAGCCTTGCCCAGACCTGCTGCACTGGAACCTGCAGGCAACCCACCCTTCAGTGGTCCCTGCCCCAGTGGGCTCTGACAGTTACTGAACAGCTGCTGCCTGACCATCATGCTCAGACGCAGTGTCCTGTTTATGGACACACAGTGAGTGCTGAAACAGAAAGCCCTGCAGGGAAAGAGCACCAGGGTCTGGCTCTGCCTGCGCGGGTGTGGGTCAGCCCATCACTAGTCCTTGGAGCCTCCACCCGGGGCCTCCTGACCCGTGTGCTCTTGTTGCATCTGCCTTCCCACCACCCCCAATGGCACCTTGCTGAAGAGCTCACCTGCTTGTGTTTTTCTACCTGCCTCCCCACCGCAGGTCTGTGTGGCCCATGGCCTCTCGCCAGGCTCTGCCGCAGGGTGGCCCCTGCATCTCACTGGCCGTTGTCTACAGTGGATGTGTGGATTTGTCACATCACTGCTCTGCTCCCGACACTGGTGACACAGATGTCTCTGGAGCCTCCTATGCCAAGAGTGGCTGCAGGGCATGGCACACACCTGGTATTCCACTTGACAGAGCATGGAAGGTCCACACCCTTGCCCCAGCTGAGGCTCTCCTATATTGGGTGCCATTGACTTTGTGCCGTTGCCAGTCAGTGGCGGCAGAGGTGGCTCCTTATCATTTAAACTCCCATGTTCTTGTCTTACTCTTTCTGGGCACCTCCTCCTGGGCTTCCTTCCCTGCCGATTGCCTGTCTACACCATTGGCTCATTCAAAAACTGGTCGTCTTTCTCTCCTTGAATGACAAGACTTGCTCTTAGACAGTACATTAAATTCCTGCATAGAAATGACTGTGCTGTTGGCTGTCACGGGCTTGTCCGCTCCCAGGAGACACCACACTTTCTGCTGTGATGGCTTTGCGGCATGTCTTGATATCTCACTGGAAAACGCCTGTTCTCCTTTGCTCCTTCTCAAAGTTGACCTTCCTTGATGGAAATATATTTTAGAATAAGTCTGGTGAGTCCCTCAAAAAATGTAGCTGGAATTTGGTTGCATTATTTTAAGTTTATACTATAGTTATGTGAGAATTGACATCTTTACTCTGTTGCTTTCCCATCCAGGAGCACAGGTTGTCTCTCCATGGATGCCGATCACCTTTTCTGTTTTTTCTTAGGGCTCCAATGTTTTGAGGATTGTGCATTCTTGGTTAAGTAATCCCTAGATGACTTACCGACTTCTTTGCTAATAAGATGGTGTCTTTTTTTTTTTTAATATATTCTCAGATTGGCAATTGGTAGTGAAGAGAGATGCAATTGACTTTTTTAAAACTTTTTATTTTGAAAATTTTAAGATTCAAAAGAATTTACAGAAATGGTACAGAGAGTTCCTATCTGTCTCTCATCCAGCTTCCCCCAATGGCAATATCTCACATAATCAGAGCACTTCATCAAAAACTGGAAATTTGGGCTGGCCAGTGCTCAGTTGGTCAGAGAGCAATGTTATAACACCAAGATCGAGGCTTCAGATCCCCATACCAGCCAGCACCAAAAAACTTAAAAATCCTAAAACAGGAAATTGACATTGGCACAATGTATTATTTGGGTATAAAATTCATTCAAATTTTACACATTTTTTAAAATGGATTTTTGTAAGTTGATTTAGCTGAGCTCCTACAGTTTTTCTGTGGATTGTATGGGTTTTTCTATGTTGGTGATTGTGCCATCTGCCAATAATGACAGTTTCAGCATTCTCCTTTCAACTCTTATATCTCTTCTTTCTGTTCCTTTCTTCAAGGCTCTGGCCAGGACTCCAGAACTGTGTCTCATGTGTGTATCAATGGGCATCCATATCTTATTCCTGACTTTCAATGGAATGGATCCAAAGATTCTCTATTAACTTTTCGATATGTAACTTTTGCCAAGTTAAAGAATGTTCTCTTCAAGTCCTGGTTAACTATGAGTTTTTTAATTTTAAAAATGTGAATATGGGGCCGGCCCGGTGGCGCACTGGATAGTGCGCCGCTTGGGAAGCGCGGCAGCGCTCCCGTCCGAGGGTTCGGATCCCACGTACAGACCGGCTCCCGCTCACTGGCTGAGCGAGGCGCGGGAGCAACGCCAAGGCTTGCGATCCCGTCGCCGGTCCCCGGTCCGGTACGGGGTCAACACTGAGGGTTGCGATCCGTTGCCGGACACGGAAAAAACAAAAAAAAAAAAGTGAATATGTGTTGAACTTTCATGGTTGCTATTTTGCATACGTGAGTACGACCCTTCCTCGATCAGCTAAGCGTGTGGTGAGCTGACTGATGGCTTTTTCTGGTGCTGAACTCTCCTGTCTGGTGGTAAGCTTTACTTTCTCCCATGGCAATCTTCCCCACATTCTGCCGGGCTGGCTGGCAGGTGTCAGTGCAGGATTTGTGTATCAGGTTCATGAGTGAAATGGACATTGATTCCTTCATCTTGTTTTGGAATAAATATCACACTGGCCTTGTTAAATGAACTAGGACACTTTTACTTCTTTTCCATTTTTAGAAACAACTTGATAAGAATTAGCTGTTTCTGGAAAGCCTGGTAGAAGTCACCTGTAAAATCATCTCCATCTACTGTGTTTGGTGAGGGAGTGTCTTTCATTATTATTATTTTAATGTTTTCTGTTTCTTCTTGTGTCAAATTTTGGCTATCATATTTTTATGAAAAGTGTATTCATATCTTTCAGGGTTTCAAAAATGTTAGCATATAGTTCATAATATTGCTCACAATTTTTTTTTTTTTAATAAAGATGACCGGTAAGAGGATCTTAACCCTTGACTTGGTGTTATCAGCATCACGCTCTCCCAAGTGAGCCATGAGCCGGCCCTATTGGTCACAATTTTTAATTCATGCCATCTGTAGCTATCTCTTTTTCATCCTAAAATTTAATTGTGGCTTTGTTGTATCTATCCTATCATCGTTCAGAGAACCAGCCTTTGGTCTTGTTAACATTTTGTTGCTGTTTTCTGCTTATTCATTTCTGTTATTTCCTTCCTTCTGTCTTGGGATTTGCTTTTTGCTCATTTTACCACTTCTTGAGTTGAAAGCTTATTGCCCCTGACTTCAGTCCTTATGTCCTAATACTTGTATTTTGCTACACATCTGTTGGGAAAATAGAATAATTTAATCAGGCTCCCCTCACCTCAGGGCCATTTGGGGGTGGTTCAGTAAACACTGTGTGTGTGTGGGTGGAATAAGTGCACCCGCGCGGTGCTGCCACCGTGGCTGGCGTTTACTGCCTGGGGCGGCCACCCTCAGTGCAGCCATGCTTTTCCATACCTACAGCTTCCGAGGACCTTTTGGCCGGTTACTTAGCTCATAGACCTGCGTGAAGGGGTCTGGTGACCCAGCGTGGCATGTGAGGGGCCTGGGGACCCAGCCTGGTGTGTGAAGGGTTTGTGACCCAGTTTGTGAACGGGCTTGAGGGGTCTGGGAGCTCCAGACCCAGCCCTAGCTCAACAGTTGGCCCAGTCGGTGCAGGATTACCAGCAGGTAAAAGAGCCCGACAACTGGCATAGTCATGGCCGAGTACCTTTACAATTGGCATCACGAAGAGGATTAAGAGCGCTACAATTGGTGCTGTGAGGATTCCAGGACTTAGCCTAGCCTGACAAATTGTCATCATTGTCAGGATTATGCCACAACATCTCCCTCTGCTACTGCTCTAGCTCTGTGGCCCAGATTTCAGGTGTTTTCATTGTCATTTAGTTCTAAGTGTTTGAAAATTCCCCCTTCTGCCACTCCAGTTCCACTTACCACCCACTGCCTCCCCGTCTGGGCCAGGAGGCAGCTGTGTGGACCGTCCACCCCTGGGGGCCCTTGCTCTCTGGTCTCTGTAGGACTTGGCTCAGGGGGACACAGATAGGTCATTAGAGAGAGGTTGGGGCACATATCCCCTGGCTCTGCCCCTTTGGGATGGGTCAGGCAGGGGCTGGTCTGCTGCCAAGGCCATGGCCTCCTCGAAAGTTGGCCCCTCTCTCGCAGCCGCACAGTGCTGGGCTCTCAGGCCTTCAATGGAAGCTGCATCTGCTCTTCCCATCCCTGCAGCACATGCTTTGTGTTCATCCTCTCTTTAAACTTTCCCTACTCACTCCTTCTGAGTATCCCATCTGTTTTCTGCCAGAACCTTGATAAAACAAACATGGGAGATTATTTTTTAAAATCATCCAATTATTATTGATTTCTAACATTATTACATTATGATCACAATACACAATCCATAATGTATTGATTCCCAAGGCTTGTTTTGTGGCTCAATACAAATGTACTTTTAAAAGTTCATGGAAAAATGGAATTAAAAGATAATACAAATCTTTCCATGAAGTACCCTCATACATGGCCATTTCTGTTGGTGTTCCACAAGTGCTACAAAAGCATGAATGTTCTCTTTTTTATTGTGCACGTAAATTTCTGTAGATCAAAATTATTAACTGCATTTGTTTTAAAATTTAGGTTTTATTAATATTCAGGATGACGAGGCCAACATCTAGAGACAACTGCCTTTGAAAAGACAGTTTGTTACTCACAGATCCTATGAGCAAGGGCACCCACGCCACACAGGCCCACACGGGGAAGCACCAGGGCCAGTCGCGGGCAGAGGGAGCGAGGGGGAATGTGGGCAGAGCCTTTACTGTGCTTCCTGCGGGAAGAGACAGGTGAGGTAGGGTCAGCAGGCTTAGGACCGGCCAGTTTGAGTAACACTGGTGGGTGCTGGGGCCTGGGGTTGGCCCTGGGGTGAGGAGGGCAGGTGGATGGTGGCCCGAGTGTGAGAGCCCATGGTGGGGAGGTGTGGACTCTGGACGGGAAGGGGCAGTCTCCTCAGGGTTAGCAAGGCCCCAGATGCCAGAACATCAGAAATACAAAAAATAGAAGGTGTGGTTAATACAGCATTTTTCTGATTTTTTAGGTTTCTCTTTATGTTTTTGTCTTTTTGGTCTTTTCATTTCTGAGAAAAGTGAGTTAAGTTCTCCTGTAATTTTTGGTTTATCTTTTTCTTCCTGTGGTTCTGTTAGTTATTACTTTATATATTTTGAGGCTCTATTGTTAGTTGAATATAGTTCCATATTCTTTCTTTTTAAAACTTATTTCTAAATTATTGCACAGTTGTATTGACATTTTTAAACGTATAGGTCTATGAATATCGACATGCGTAGATTCCACCATCCCCCAAACCCGTGTTTTCAGTTTTTGGCACTTAAGCAGTGAGCTGCTATAAACATTTTTGTATAGGTTTTCATGTGAACAATAAAGGTTTAGATCAGCATTCGGCAGACTATAGCCCAGGAGCCAAATCCAGTCCATGGCTGTTTCTGTATAGCCTTTGAGCTAAGAATGGTTGAAAAGAACAAAAAACACATGGAGGCCCATGTGAGACAGAGACAGCATGTGGCCCTCAATGCCTGATGTCTGGCCTTTGGTGGGAACTGTGTCTGACTGTGGGCTAGAGCCTTGAGCAGGCCTGTCCTGAAGGTGTCTAAGGGAAGCTGGAGAGAACGCCGAATGCAGCCACTTTAAAGTGTGTGTCTCCTTTGGCAGATAAACTTCAATCTCATTCTGCTTCTCCTGCTGGAGCTTCTCATGGCAGCCACGGTGATCATCTCTGCCCGGTCCAGCGAGGAATACTGCAGGAAAAAGAAGGTGGGTTGAGCCTCTGATGGAGCAGGATGGGACCGGCAGGGGGTGCCCTCCGACAGCAGGTCTGGGTGGGCTCTCCTGAGGAGGGCTGGGGCGGGGGTGGGGAGGCAAGAGGAAGGTGCCCGACTGTTTCCTCCTTGAGTGTAGTTCCGATCAAGCGCTCATCCCCAGTAATGTCACACGGACAGACCAAATCTGCTAAAAATGTCTTGTAAAGTGAGATCATGGTAATTAAACACATTTTCCTATGGAAGGAAAAGGTCTGTTTGAGCTTCGAGGCTGCAGATCTGTTGGCGGTGACTTTGAGATGGTCCCATTTCCAAACCCAGGCAGGCCACTCTGACCCATCCCCTGAGAGCTGGACCCAGCAGCAGAGTGAAAGTCCCGGTATCTACAAATCTTCCTTGACAACATTTTGTTCCTTTGTAGGGTCCTATCTCTGACAGCACCAACATTTTGGATGAAGTGACATTTCCTGCTCGAGTCCTAAAATCCTATTCAGTAAGAAAAATTTTTCTTTCTCTTTTCTCTCTTCTTACTTTATTTTATTTGGGGGAGGTTGAGGCTGGATTAAATCATCACATTTATTTTTCAAGATGGCTAAGATATGGCTGTCTGGGCTATGCATATACCTTGTCTGTGAAAGATATTTCAGTATGTTTAGTAGCCTTGTTGGTAACAAAATACTTTTTCTTAAAAGGCGCTGGTGTTCTTTAATTTTTAGGGGCAGATATACTGATAAAGGTGATTGCTGGCTGCCAGTGTGGTCCTGAGGAGTACCTTCCCTCTCAGCATCCTGGTCTGAGGATAAATTATATGGCCACTCTCTCTCATTAATTGTGTTTTAAGTCTTTTATGCCCTGTCTACTTTTTTTGTTTTTAGTCTGCATGTTCGGTTAGTGAAAGACTTGTTAAAAACCTCCAGCTGAGTGTGGCATCCCCCATTTCTCTCTGCAATTCTGCAGCTTGCCAGCACAGATTTTGGTGCCACGTTTCTAGTTACATACAAGTTTAGAACTGCTCCTTGGTGAATTTCTTTTTTTTTTCCTCATCATAATGTAGTGACCCTCTTTATCTTTAGTAACATATTTTTGCCACAGAATCTATATGGACTGATTTAAGGTCATCAATGATCTTTTGTTAATCTTTGCCTGATGTATCTTTCTCCTTCTTACTTTTGGCATGTTTCTTATAAACTGCACATAACCGTATTTGGTTTTTTAATTTAATCTATGAATTTAGTCCATTTGTGTTGAGAGTGACTACTGATATTCTTATTTATATTTTTACCATCTTTTTTGTTCTCTGTTCCCCAGTTTTTTCTTCTCCTCCTTCCTGCCTTCTTTTGAGTTGGTTGGAGCCCCCTTTTCCTTTTCTCTATAGTTATGGATTAGAAATTGTATTTCTGTCTTCATTTAAGGTCATCCTTAGTATTTTAACATGCGCCTTAATAAACAAATCACAGGGGCCTGTCCTCTGAGCGGCCGGCCTGGCTCCTCTATCCATCCTCACTTCTCCATCCGCACTTGTTGTCTAGGTTGCCACATTTAGTAACATTTTCCTTTTTTACACCCTAAATCAGACACTCTCCTGTTTGCTGTACTCAGTCAACACTTATGTTTCTCAATGCATTTGTTCCCATGTCTCTTGCATTTCAGTCCTCCCTTCTGGTTCAGTTTTTCTTCTACTTAATGCACTTTCTTTAGAGTTTCTTGAGAGGCTGTTTTTGATAGGCTTTTACAGTTTTTGCTAGAAAGTGATAATGTTGCCCAGGAGAGACTTCTGGGTGACAGCTTTCCCTGAGCGTTGGTTGATCCTGCTGCTGCCGTGGCCAGCCGCTGCCTGTGCAGGTGACCTCTCTGTCCCATGCTCACGAGGTCCCCCAGGCAAGAATTCAGTTCTGTTTGTCCATCGTGGGCCTCGTGCCTTCTGAAAGTGGGGCAGCCTGGCTGCCGCGTGCCCAGGCCCTCCGCGATGCTCCTGCAGGCCTGGCTGTCCATGAGCTGGGCTCCGTCTGAGCCTCCTGCTGGTCCTCACATGGCTTCTGTGAGTTTGCTTCTTCCCCCGTCTTTCCTGGGTCTGCTGGCAGGTGCTGGCTGCGGGTCTGTAGAGCTAGGGCTGGGTCTGGAGCTCACAGACCCCTCAAGCCCGTTCACAAACCTTTCACACGCAGGTCTATGAGCTAGGTAACCGGACAAAACGGTCCTTGGAGCCTTGGTTGAAGAAGGAATAGTCTTTATTCAGCACACACAACATTATGAGCTTAGGTGGTACAAAGAGAAACTCAGAAACTCAACTGCTACTGGCAAAGTCCAAAGAAAAACTGAGCAGCTGCCAGCAGAGTAAGCATGTTCTATTTTTAGACATGAACTCTACTGGGCAGGGCTGCTTCACAAACTGAAGAACACACAGTAGCAGCAAACTAAAAAGACACATGGGTGCACATGTGCACCAACTCCACCCACACACAGCCTGTTTACAAGTAATGTGCAGCTCGACCCCCAGCCAGACCTGAGCCGAGGGAGCCTGACTAAATTATCCTATTTTCCCCACAGGGTCCTGTGGGGTCAGGGGTGGGGACATCTGGTGGTCTTTTCTCAGCCCCCAGCACCGCCAGATGAATAACTTAGTTTCTGGAGAAAAGGAACAGTGGGGGAGTATCTACTTAGGACATTTTTCTTCAGGAAAGACACATGACGTGAAAAGTTGCTGTTGCTGGCCAGAGGGGACGCTTGTCTAGGTGGGCTCCTCGATTGATTGTGTGGCTGGATCCAGGCCCATCCACAAGCAGGCAGCCCAGTGAGCCAACGACCCCCCCCCCCCGGGGGGTCTACACCTGCACACTGCATCCTGGGGAACCTGGGGGCCGTCTCCACTTCCTCAGGGTGGGCACAGAGAGGTGATGCTGTCCCCCTGCCCCTTCCAGGTCGTCGAGGTGATTGCTGGTGTGTCTGCCGTCCTCGGTGGCGTCATTGCTCTGAACGTGGATGACGCGGTTTCAGGCCCGCACCTCTCAGTGACCTTCTTTTGGATCTTAGTGGCTGTGAGTACATCCTACCTAGTCATCCACGGCTGGCCAGGCCACACGGTCTTTGGCCACAGCTCTGGACATTCAGATGGGAAACCCGCCAGGAGAGCGTCCTTGCTGGCCCCCAAACCAGAAGAATTGGGGGATTGAGGATTAACTGAGTCAGTGTGTTGACTTTTTATATTAACTGCTACTATTACTTTATATTGTTTTCATTATTTTTTTCTTGAAAAAAATTATTTGTATTATCCTATATAATTTTCTGTGATGTCATCCATGTTGCTGCAGATGGCAGGATGTCATTCTTTTTTATGGCTGGGTAGCAGTCCATTGTGCCACATTTCCTTATTCATTCTGCCATTGATGGACTGTAGGTTGGCTCCATGTCTGGCTATTGTGAATAGAGCTGCAGTGAGCATGGGAGTGCAGGTGTCCCTTCTGACTTACACAGTTTAATGTTGTTTAATTACTGAACTGAAATACAGCCTGCCTGCTCCCGGTCTGATGTGTGGCCTGGGCTGGGTTTGGGCTCCTGACATCTCTCAGAGCATCAGGTCTAGATCAACCCCTCCATACCCCGCATTTCCACATCATGCGTTACACTTGAAACCACCATTCCCTGCACCTTGTGCTTCCAGACGTGGACACCAATGGTCATGCTGCACATGTCACATGGTGACCTGCTTAAAGGCATGGATGGCTCAACCACTGGTCTGTCCCACACTGCTTGTCAATTCTGTGGACTTTTGGATTTTGACACTGTCGTCTTGTATAAGTGACAGGACACGGGGGGCATCCTTGGCTTTGGCTATGGCTCCTCTGAGTCTGTGGTGGGGAAACTGTTCCCGAAGCTGCCCAGAAGGCGTGGCCTTCGGCTTGACTGCTTGCCTTCTTTAACCACACGTCCAGCTGTGAGAAGGCACGTGCCTGCTGAGGGACTGGTGTGACCAGGGTGGACGTTATGCACCAGCAGCTGTGGCTCAGCTCCTGCCACGGGTCCTGGGCTGAGAGTGGTGCCCTCAGGGTACTCCTGCCTGAGCTCCATCAGCCCCTGAGACCCACTTAACCACCCAGGGACAGGAGCAGGGAGAGAGACCCAGGCAGGGCAGAGAGTGGAGCCCCACACCTGGAAGGGGTGGGCCCGGGCTGCTGCAGAGACAGAGGGCTCATGTGTGTGCACGCCCATGCTGCACATGTGTGTATACCCATGCCGCACATGCCTAACCTCTGTGTTCTGAAACAGGCAGCTCTGGGGTCACATCCCAGAGCTTATGAGAACAGAGACCAAATATCACAGAAAAGGTGTTTTCATCATGAAAGATGTTGTCCCTGTCCCCATCTTGGGGAGATTTGGGGTGGGTTTTCTGTGGAGGTCGTGAGCCAGCTCCACCTACCTGAGCCCTGGCCAGGGGACAGTGGAGAAGCCGAGGGCATGGACCATAGAAGCCAGACAGGGGTCCAGGGCTCAGGGGCCAGGTTGAAGCCTGTCCCTGGGGCCCACTTGGGCTGAAGGTCGGGGCCCTTCCTGGGTCAAAGCACAGTGGGGGAGGGGTCCAGCGACACCCTGGGGAGATGCCTGATCTCCTGGGTGGTTTCCCTGAGTCTAATCATGAAGACACACCTGTCCAGCTCAGACGAGGCCAGTCTGCAGCAGATGGGCCCACACTCCTCAGAAGTGCCCAGACACAAGGGTGACAGAAGCGAAAGACATCCTCCATGAATGGAGACCCACAACCAGATGCAAAGCCCTGGTGTCCAGCAGACGCACACTTGGTGCTCAGACTTAGGGCTATCTGAGAGGGCGCAGATGCTGCCGAGTGTCAGTGATCAGGGATTCTAGGGTACTGGGATTCTCATTGCATCATTGTTGCGGCTTTCCTGCAGGCTTAGACATTTTTAGACATGGTAGAGGAGGCTCCATGAGCCGCCCTGTCCTTCCCCACCACCAGCCCCCACCCTTTGGGGCCCCAGCAGCCCCGCCCCTCAGGGACCAGCCCCATGGCCGTCTGCCCAGCCCTGGCTTCCCCTCCACTGGACAGAAGCACAGGTCACATTAGAATGGGAAAGTGCATGCTTTGATTTTGGCTTCGTGGACTGAAGATGAAATATCCCTTTTTTTTCTTTTCTCTTAGTGTTTTCCAAGTGCCATTGCCAGTCATGTGACAGCAGAGTGTCCCAGCAAGTGTCTGGTAGGTGAAGGCCTGTACCCTGGGTATCAGGGACCCATCAGGCCATGTCAGGGCCTGGCCTGTCCCATCCACAGTGCCAGGTGACAAGGCTCCAGCCACATCAGCAACTGCTGGGCCTGGGCAGCAGGGGCCGGGGAGGAAAGGCCAGTTCAGGCGAGCACCCGGAGGGCCCAGGCTGAGGCTCCACTGGCCATCAGCTGCCCTGTCTGTGACAGCAAGCAGAGAGTCAGAAGAAACTCCTGAGATTAAGCAAAGGAGAGAGGAGGAGACAGTCCTTTAGACTCGTCTGCATCTTGTAAGGCTGATCAATTGTTAATCAGTGACTGTTGCTGAGTGTTGAGCCCAACTGTGCTGCCAGTGGGTGTCACGCTCGGCAACTGCCCTGTAAATGGTGTGTTCTCTGCTCTGAGACTTGATCTAGGCATCACTGCATGATTTGGGAAGATCTGGGGGTCATTAAAAGGACATATTTTTAAAGAGTGGGAGAGGTGATCAATACACAAGTGATATTTTTTGGAGAATTGTGCAAAAATTAGAAAAACCCTCACATGACGTGCTCAGTGTGCTTTGAATGGACGGGCAGAGATTTTAGCAGGGGTTGCATGCTGAGCCCAGCGATATGCTCTGGGTAAAGGATGGGCCACGCCCCCTTCCCTGCCAAGGCCCTCGGAGAAGGGGGCAGCAACCGAGCTCTCATTTGCCTTCAACCAGGTGGAGGTGCTGATTGCTGTAAGCAGCCTCACGTCCCCACTGCTGTTCACGGCCTCTGGATATTTGTCATTCAGTGTAATGAGAATCGTGGAGATTTTTAAAGATTACCCACCAGCCATAAAAGTATGTATTCTTTTATTTAAAACTCTCTAGAGACACAGTGCCACCGTGAATTGGCACACATCTGAGGAAGAGTCTCACGGGGAATGCGCTGAGTCCTGGGCAGCAGCCTGGGACAGGGGCACCGCCCGGCCGGAGCTGGCTCTGCACAGGCTGTTCTGGGTGGTTTCATGCGTAGCATGATGTGGATCTAAATTGCTTTTTCTATGTGGACAGTGAAGTGACCCTGTCTAGCCATTCTGTCCCTGTTTCTGCCCAGGCTGCTCCTGCTTTTCTAACTTTGGGTCATTCTTCCCCTTACCTCAGCCCTGTGACGGCTGCATCCCAGGAGGACGGTGTTCTCTTCACAGCTGCCGTGGATTTTCTCTGCCCCTTGAGCATCCGCGTGCAGTTTACAGTCAGGTGTCGCGCTTTACGAGACACACTGTTGGGATTTCAATCGGAATTGCTTTAAGTTTATAGATAAATGTGAGGAGAGTTGAAAGTGTCGTGGCTTTAAGCCTCTCCGTGTATGAACATGTCTCTACATAGGACTTCTCCAGAGCCTTCCAATAACATTTCATGATTTTCTCCGTAAGGCTCAGGCACGTACAGCTGGATTTATCATGTACCTTGCAGCTTTTTCTTTCCAGTATGAATGGTATTTTCCCCAAATGTTTGTTACAAGAAATGTCAGACATACAGAAAAGGAGAAAAAATAGTGCAGTAGACAAGGAGAGTCTCCAGTGGTTCACTTTATGTACACGAGTGTTTACACTGATGGGTGGACGGTGGACGCTCGCAGGTGCATTTTTGAGAACAGTCTCCTACACATCCACAATCCCATTATCACACCTAAGATGGTTAAAATTATTACATCATGTTGTTTCATCTCCAGTCCACATTCAGTTTTCATGACTCATCTCAAGGACATGCCTTGTGGACTGACGTTTCCAGAGCAGGACACCTTGTATCACTGCCGAGTCACTGTGTTCTCCATGGAGTCCAGGCTGCCATCTGGGGGCTGGTCCCACCTGTGCATCTGTTTCCCACTGAGCACTCTTGGGGAGCATGAGCCCCTTCACGGGGCATAGGCAGCCCGTGGGTCAGGCTCTGGAACTGCACAGATGTTTTGTCCCCAGGACTTTCCCTTGGGTTAGCATTGATGGCCGGTCCCCGCCTTGATCATTTTTCACATTGGGGCGTGAAGGCAAGGTGCCATGCATTGCTTGCTCCTCCTCCGCTTCCGTGGGTCAGGCTCTGGAACTGCACAGATGTTTTGTCCCCAGGACTTTCCCTTGGGTTAGCATTGATGGCCGGTCCCCGCCTGGATCATTTTTCACATTGGGGCGTGAAGGCAAGGTGCCATGCATTGCTTGCTCCTCCTCCGCTCGTCCTGTGGAGGACACACGGGTTCTCGTTATTCCCAATGTTGCAGCCGTCACTCTTGTGGTGCTGGAGCTGACCCAGATATGGCCACAGGGAGCATCCTCCAGCTCCATGTCCTCCTGTCACAGCCCAGATGTGCTGGGTCCCTTTGGGGGGAACAGAGCTTAGAAATCAAACCTGGGCCCGTGTGCTCAGCCCTCCACATGTCATTGCTTCTAAGCCCTTCCAGTGACAGAGCTGGGACATACACATATTTTTAAAGACCATAAATTTATATTGGAATTTCCAATTCAACTGTAACATTCTAGGGTTTTTGTTTTCTTGATTTCTATTTTATGTTTACATCTCCTTTCTCCTACTGCAAAAATCCTTTATGTAACATTTAATATACTTGCTACTTTATTTTGTCTTATAATACACATAAAACTGTTTACAATTGCAAGAGACCACTATTACTACCAGCTGTCCACCTACTGAGTGAATCTATTTTCTATTTATTTATTTTTTTGGTTGCTGGCTGGTATGGGCAACCAGATACTGAATGAAGTTAAGGCTTCCTTTGTGCCCTTAACATACATCCCACTAGGGAGTGACAGTACACGCACTATGAGAAATAATTCCCCTCTTCTGTGTGTGGTTATGCTATTGATTTAATACACACTTAAGTGTATTGGTTTCGGTTGTATTCAATTTTAGAGTTTGGTGCTTTTTCTTCTTTATTGTTTCTTTAATATAAAAAACATGTACACAGTTTCTTTGGTCTCCCTGCTTCTCCACAGGCAACTGTATTATTATTTTGCTTCCTTTCCTGCAAAACAGGTTGCACTCGACAGTCACTATTCTGTACTTTGCTTTTTTTTTTTTTGTCTTTTGTCTTTTTCCGTGTCCGGCAACGGATCGCAACCCTCAGTGTCGCCCCCGTACCGGACCGGGGACCGGCAATGGGACCGCAACCCTCGGCGTTGCTCCCGCGCCTCGCTCAGCCAGTGAGCGGGAACCGGTCTGTATGTGGGATCCGAACCCTCGGGCGGGAGCACCGCCGCGCTTCCCAAGCGGCGCACTTATCCAGTGCGCCACTGGGCCGGCCCAACTTTGCTTTTTTTTTAACTTAGTAATTTATCCTGGTGTTTCCTCAGTGCCCAGGGAGATCAGAGCCCTCCTGTAGTCTTTCATTACTCCTGCACATACGCAGCCAGTATGTGCAGCCAGTCCCTGATGAGGGGAGCTGGGTTATTTTCCAATGTCTGCTACTATAAGTGACGCCTGATGTACGCCCGGAGTCCGTGCAATGTAGCTTTACAATAATTAGCTAGGAGAGGGGTTGCCAGGTCAAAGGGTAGATGCATTTATAATGTTAAACCTCAACAAATTTCCCTGGTGGGGGCTGTTCCATTTCCCCAGCTGCCAATGGCAGGAGAGCATGTGTGTCTCCACAGCCCACCCAGTGTCATGCTGAGTTTCTGCAAAACAGGAGAGGCCTCTCTTAGCAGGAGAGGCCTCTCTTAGCATGAGTGGCGGTGAGGACCTCTCACTATGCTTAAGGACATCGGCATTTCTTTCCCGGTAAACTCTGCTCGTGTCCTTTGCCCATTTTCTCCTGGGCTCTCGAGGACTCTGCTGACGTGAGGGAGGCCGGCCCTCCACCTGTAGTGGAAGGTGCCAACAGTGGCCTCAGCCTGGCAGCTGTTTCTCGTTCTGCTTGTCGTGATGTTAGTCACGTGAAAGGTTTTTTTTTTTTTGTTTTCATATAGTTAAATTGATTGATATTTTCCTTAATTGCTTCTGGATTTTAAGTCATAGTTAGAAATGCTGGTCTGTGTGTTTCCAGCTGGCGTTGTCGTGGAGTGTGGCAAAAGGTGGACCCGTGTGACCTTTTCTCCAAAGACCCTTCAGTTGTTTAGACACCATTTATTACAAAGTTCCCTTTTCCTCAGTCCTTTGAGACGAAGCCTCTCCCCCACACTGAGCTCCTGTCGGCGCGCGGGCCTGCCCGCTGGCTCCACCCTGCGGCGGTGACAGAGGCTTTGCCGCTGCTTGGTATCTGACAGGGCCGGATGCCTGACTACTAACTGCTTCCTCTCGGCTCTCCCAGCTTCCTTGCTTGTTTGTTTTTCTGCAGGAATTTTAGAATCAGCGTGCCTTGGCTCTAGAAAGCACAATATTGCTATTTTTAATTCCAACCAGGTCAACTTTGCACCTTGACTTAAGAAGAGTGGTTCATTCTCTTCTTCCTTCCTTCTTTTTCGTAGTGACACCGGATGCATGCTGGGTTCTTTTTTTGTGTTAACATTTAGTTGCTTTGTATTTCCTTGGGCCAAAGCTGGAAGGACAGCCACATGGCGTGTGGAGGGTTTGGGTACTTTGTGAGTGTCACAGCGGGCTGTGGCTTCTTGCTGTACTGAAGAGCAGTTTCTGTTTCCTCTGACCCTGGGGCTCTGTACCCACTGCTTCCTTCCTCCCCTTCCCTGCTGAGCCCAAGGCGCCTTCTCCTGCTCCTCCCCTATTCCCCCCTCTGGTCCTGGCACCCCTTGGTCCATCCTCTCCAGCAGCTGATGCTTGGGGTGGATCTGTTGGTGGAGCGTGTCTCAGCCCCCGGACCCTCACCTCCCTTTCCTTCCGCTCAGGCCCTCCAGAGCCGACTCTGCCAATCTTGGGAATGTGTTTCCTGCTAACATGTAGTTGGAAGGCTGCCGTCACTTCTGCCTCCTACTACACCCCCTGTGTGGGCCACAGTGGTTGTCTGGCTCCCTCATTGATCCTGTGGTTGTTGGGGTGCGGCCAGGGTGGAAAGAGTTGAACACCAGCAGCCGGCAATATCCAAGGGCTGGCAGCCTGTTGGGTCACTTTATGCCTATCTGTTGAACATAACCAGCAGCACAGGCAGCAGAGCTGATCTCACCCATTGAGATAGAATGATTATCATTCAGGTTATTGAAATGACAGAATGCATCAAGACTGTTAGGGCTCAAAGCGAGTGCTCATCTGCTCTTTGGGAGGGCCATGGTCATGAGGGCATCTGTCTGCATGGGTCTCTGTGGTGGGAGGGACGGGTGGCAGCGGCCCTGCTCACCTCTTGTCCCGCCCTCAGCAGTCCTACGACGTGCTCCTGCTGCTGCTGCTGCTGGTGCTACTGCTCCAGGCCAGCCTCAACACGGGCACCGCCATCCAGTGCGTGAGCTTCAAGGTCGGCGCCAGGCTGCAGGGCACATCCTGGGACACCGAGACTGGCCAGCAGGAGCACCCTGTCGGGGAGGTGAGTGACCTGTGACCATCTGTCCTGGTGAGGGCCTCCAAACGCCCATGCAAGTGAATGATCCCCTCACTGATGTCCTTCAAGACCTGTGGTACCACTTTGTGTTTTTAAAAACACCCCAGAAAAATCCCAAAGAAGCAAAATATATAAACTGTTTTTAAGAACAACTAGGCAAACACAAAGACACCCCTGAAAAGTATCATGGAGTCAGTGCTTTCAGTTTTGCTCTTACAAACACAGAAGAGGACTTTGCAAGCGTCTCCACGGGTCAGAGAAGTTTCCTTCTTTGGCCCCAACAGGGATGCTGGCTCTGTAGGGAAGGGGGTGCCCACCTGGCCTGGCACGTGGGGCTCTCTAGAGCTTGGTTGTCAATGACCTCTGGTCAGTGGGCTCTGTGGGGTTGCGTAGCCCCTCTGCCGGGCTTACAGCCACCTGCACAATACTCTCCCCCAGGCCCTGCCCCCCACATCTGAAAGGCTGGGGGCTCAGTGTCTCTGCCCCGTGGCCACCCTCCTGGCTGTGTTTTCCGGGCACACTTGCCCTCTGCCCTTCAGGTGCAGTGACCACGAAGCCCCCAGGGCCCGGGCAGCTGTCCTCCCTCATGTCTGGAGGCATTGGTCACCTCTGCCTCAAGCATCCCCTTCCTCGGCTGTCAGGTGCAGCCTTCGCCCCACAGCCAGAGCATGGGGCCAGGTAGAGAGCCATGCACTGAAGCCCCCAGGGCCCGGGCAGCTGTCCTCCCTCATGTCTGGAGGCATTGGTCACCTCTGCCTCAAGCATCCCCTTCCTTGGCTGTCAGGTGCAGCCTTCGCCCCACAGCCAGAGCATGGGGCCAGGTAGAGAGCCATGCACAGACACGTGCAGACCATCGGCAGAGAACACGTGAGGGACACAGCATTTCTAGGAGGGTGAAGGGGTGGAGGCCTTTGATTCCTTCCTAGAGGTCCAGGTGCTGCTCACTCCTTTCTTCCCATGCAGAGAAAACCTGTAAAATTAAGGCAAAACCCAATGGCACCTGGGGCTGGCCGCATCTGCCTTCCTGCCGCACACTGGCCCTGGCAAAATAACACTTTCCCTGTCCTTGTCACAGATGGCCAGAAGCCCCCTGAAGGAGTTTGACAAGGAGAAGGCCTGGAGAGCTGTCGTGGTGCAGATGGCCCAGTGACCACAGAAAAACTGAGTTGCAGTGCTAGCCTGGCCCAAGCACGCTAAACCACACAGACTCCAGCAGTCCTCGAGCTACTGCTTTCTAACACTTCCTTCTCCCTTGGTGAGGGCAGACCAGGCTGCACGGTGGAGTTCTTTCTCATGGTAGTTTAGTTCTGAAATAGGTACATGTGGACTATTTTATGCCTTGGCAGATAAGCCGGTTCAGTGCTTCTCAGGTGGCCTGACTGCATGGCAGTGCCCAGGACTGCCCGGGCAAGGAAGGGTGTCAGCCCTGCGTGCCGAGAGCCGGACAGATGGTGAGGGACCCAGCACACGCTTCCTGCCTCTTTCACAGCTGGCACTGGAGTTGAAACCTCCAGGCGTTCACATTTGGGCTGACCACGGATCTCCAAGTTCCCCGTCCACTCTGGCCAGCTCCCGTTATCTGCTCTTCCGTGCTGACCGCGTGGCGTGTGCTCAGCTGGGTTTGGGTCTTACCTGTTTTTAGCTTCTCCCTTCTGAGCTGAGCCTGCACTGGAGCCCATCCTGCCAGGACACCAAGGCCAGCACCTCTGTCCTCCCCAGAACCGAGGGCACACTTGACGCCTTTCCCACACGAAATCCACACCCCAGGTTTCTGCCCTCTCTTCCTACTTTAACCCAGTCACTCCAGAAAGACCTTGCCTCCTCATTGGCCCGGCTCAATGTCCCTGGGTGTCCTCATATCCAGCTTGGAGCTTTGAATGGCCACTGTGACAGTTCAGTGTTGTTTGGGGTGGGGCTGAGCTGGAGGATTTGGAAACAGACTTGACCAGTCACTGACTCGCTGGCCCTGGTGACCAGGGAGGCTGAGCTCCACCCTTTCAGTTTGCTCCTGCTCCTGTTATTCACTCAAAATACAAAATGGACCCCATCAGAGCCAGGGAACCCTCACAGGGGCTGTCACAGGGCATTTCCCAGTCCTCTCCACCTCCTAACAAGTAGTGTATCTTGACTCTCACCTGAGGGCTGGCCCAGGACAGCCTGGTGTGAGAATGACATTGGCTTTGATTAAAATCATGGCCAAGAATTAGTCTGTGTGCCATCTCCTCGTCCCTGTGACTACACCTGGATTCTCCCAACTGACCCAGGCACCGGTAGATCTACAGTGACTTGAGGGCACCTTGTAGAACTGGGAAAGTTATTGTTTCAGTGATTGTTTTCCGGCCAGTACTTTCATTCACAAGGGTACACATCAAAGCGGTTTTGCTTCTTTTCTTCCAGTATGAGGAGATAAACAGCAGTGCTCAGGAACACAGGATGTTTGCTCTCTGCTAAGTTGGGGCGTATTAATTGGTTCCCCCATGGGCTGGTGGAAAAGCCTGGGGCCATTAGGATCAAGGAACCATTAGCCCAGGGAGATGAAGACAGGATGGGGCAGCTGGGGTAGACCTGGCCAGGGCCATCCGAAGATCCTCCCAGGCTTCTGGACCCTGAACGCAGGTGACTCCAGCTGCCGGGGTATCCTCATGGTATTCATGCCAAGTCAGGTTATTATTTTCAGTCAAGCAGGAGGAATGCAGGTACGAAACCTGACAGGTGGAAACTGCCAGCCATGTGAGCTCTGTCTCCTTCCCGGCTGGCTGACCTGTGAGGGGACAAGGACAGTCTCTCTCTGTTGTCCTCGCAGCTCCAGAAAGCAAGGATGAAGTGCGGGACCAGCTCTGGGCAAACAATTTGGTCTTGTCGCCAAACAAGCACCGCCACAGCTAGGTCACTCTTCCCTGTACACATGCACATCCCACCCAGTCTTCAGGCTGGGCCACCTCTGCCTCCTTGCAGCTCTGAGGTGAGCAGACCAGGCAGGGTCTGCATCCTGACCCCAGCTCATAGAAATGGGGTGGGGGCCACAGGGACAGCACTGCACCACCAGGCTTCTGTCTTCTTGGGGACCAGAGAGTTCAAGTTTTAGAGCTAGAATCAGGCACCAGGAGGGGCAATACTGGCTTCCACTTTCTTATTTTAGAGAGCTTAAAAAATCCGGACAAATGGGCTTTAAAACACTGTCTCTCTCAATGTACACTTTGATATAGTTTAGCCTGAACAATAAATGCTCACGTGGAAACGTGGCCAGTGGCTGTTTAATGTTGGGGGCCAGAGGGACCTGCTTGCCCAGGCTCTGGAAAGTGCAAAGGTAAACACAGGAGGGCAGCGAGGTGAGGCCACCTTTTCGCTGACTCACCAGGTTATGTCGCCCCTGAGGCCGGTCAGGAGGGCCGTGGGAGCCCCGCGCCCTGAGATGCCTCCCGAGCGCTGCAGAACGTGTGCAGACCTCCCTGTTGAGGTATCTGCGGAAGTTAAACGCAAAATAAAGACGATTTGAACCAGAGATGACATGTAGGTTTCGAAAAGCTGCTGTGAGTGAAGGCGGTGGGGCGTGGGGGGGCTTTCCTACCTTCCCCCCCGAGATGCCGGACCAGAGAGGCGGTCGGGGTGGGGCTTGCTGTCACGTGCCGGCCCTCGCAACCCCATGAGTGACCTGGGGACGTCAAGGCCGCTCCAGCTTCCTCGGCCGGGGGGTTCGGGGGTAGCTGCCCGCTGACCGGCGAGCAGACGCCTGCCCCGCCCCGTCCCCGCAAGCCCCATCCCCGCACGGTCACGTCTAGGCCCAGGGCTGGGGCGTCTCGGGGGCGGGGGAAGGGAAGCGAGGTTTGGAGGGAGCCCCGGGGTGGGGGCGGAAAGGCCGGGTCGCGAGGGCTGGTGACCCGGGAGAGGGCGCAGGGCGTGGCCCGCGGTCTTTGTGACTTGGTGGGGGGCCGAGCGCCAGGGCTGGAGTGTGTGACCCAGACAGCC